AATAATAACAATAATAACAATAATAGTAGTAGTAGGGGTTGTAGGGGTAGTAGGAGTAGTAGTAGCAGCAGCTCCTCTGGGCTTGGCGTGCTACCCGCTTGAAAGATTGTTTGGAGCAATGATTTGGATGAGTTTTATCTTAATAAGAGTTTTTGAAGCAGGTTTTCAGGTAAAACCTAGCTGAACAATAGAAAACAACATCACAGTAAATCAACCAACAAACATCCCCCGACCCCATAAAGTATTCAGTCAGCGGTTGTGAATACATCAGTACATACATATATATATATACATATATACACATAAATTTGAGAAAACTTTGTATTATTACCTGCAGCTTGTTCCCAACAGCAGAATGCAGTTGGATCTCTGGTGCAGAGTTTGTTTGTTTAGGATCCAACATTTCATCCAAACTTTCACCATCTAACTTCCTTTTCGCCCTCTTCCACCCGGAAGCGTCTGCCCCGTCTCCTCTCCGCTTCCGCTAAATCCCACTTTCTTCCGCACCACACCTCGTCAGTGCATGGCGGTGCTCCTCCGCTTCCATGGTGGCTCCATCGCCTTCGCTGCGGTCTGCATCGGCCTGGTGCGGCCCTTTCGCTTCGTGTTGGGCACCTTGACGGCGGTGACACGGATGCCGCAGAATCCCTTCAGCTGGATGGAGACGCTAAGCTTGGGCTGGAGAGGGTTTTCGAGGTTCGGGCGGTTTTTTTGGGAGGGTTTCGAGGTACGAGCGGACAGCGGGAACCAGGTAAAATGAATGGTAGATTGGAAGGGGACCATGGTCCTAGTGGTATTTTCGTTGACTCAATTCAATGGACAGGCAGTCGGAGATGATCCCCCTGAAAACAGTCGGATTGGAGCTCTTGGACTGGGTGGGGATTGACCGGACTGCTGGACTTGCCCACCTCACGTGGGCCACTGTGAGTGAGCTGCGCGCGCTTCGATCACCTGTTGGAAACCCCTGTGATTTGGCACGTCTCGACAGTCACTGGCCGAACTCGTTGTGGGGATTCAAAAAGAGCTATGTAATGCGAATGCAGAGAGAAGAATGCGATTGGAGAGTCAAACGACTTCATTTTGATGGATGAAAGTGACCAGTTGAAACGTTCATGTTTGGACGAAACGTTTTGAGGATGTCCTGCTGCCCTTGCCTGGTGTCCCTCTACAAGCTTTTTGACCGGTTCTCAGCCAATGCCTTTGTAGACCTGGTGCTGCATGGGACAGCGCTCCGCAAGGCGATGGAGGCAGCAGCCGTGACGATGGAAACATGTCAGACCACAGCCAACTCGTTGAGCCTTGGAGAAGTCGTTCCCTTTTTTCCGTGCTTTTCATGAGGCTTCAAACCACTCCTCAAAAACAACAACCCTTCGCTCCTGCCCTAAAAATTGTGGATTGCCATTTTGCCCGTTTGTGGGTTTGCATTGGAGCTGTGTTTTCCGAACAAGTCTCAGTCTCAGGCAAAAGTGCAACTTTGGACGGTGTGGTTCACGTTGCAAAGTGTTGAAACCATTCCAAACGCCAAACGTGTGTGGAGTGTGTGCAATTATTGGCAACTTTGACTTCATGCAAGAGTGCAGGCTAAGAGAGTCACACACGCAAGAGTGTCCTGCGCGAGTGTCTTACAAGAATGTCATTCCAGTCTGTCCTGCAAGAGTGTTGCGCAAGAGTTTGCTCGAAATAAGAATGTGTTACAAGCCCAAGCGTGCTCAAGAGTGCCACTGGAAAGGTCTCACACAAGAGTGTCCTACAAGAATGCCACCCCAAGATATCGCGTCGTATGTATCAAAAGCATTCAAAAGCAATCCAAAGGAGCTTCACATTATTTTCTGGGATCTGAGATATAAGCAAGTGTCCTGCATCCAGGTTCGTGGTTTCTATCATATTCTTTTCTTATCTCCTTAGGTATGGTAGGAGTTTTGGTTTCCTATTTACAGATTTGCTCCCAGGGTCCCAGCTAGTCAATTTTGTTGGTGGGGGCTAGAGAGACGACTCCAAAGATTCTAGCATGGTTCTCTCTGCTCGTTCGTGGAGGACGAGCTCCCCCAAAAGAACCGAACAAAGAAACAGTTTTCCTTTATTTCTATTTTTTAACTTTGCGCGTGGGGGTCTGTTTTTTTGAGAGGAATTTAGACTCGAATCCGTGGGAGTTCTTTTCTGCTTCAATATACACGAACTGTTTTTCCAGGAATGGTACCACCTTCGTCTTCCAAGTCATTTGCCTGTGCCTCACCTGGTGGTTCGGCTTTATGATCAGCTGGATTGCTGTGACTCAGATCCCAGAGTACAATGATCCCATCCATTTCGGCTCCTTGCACTGGCCGACATTTCACCTTTAGTGAACATTTTGTTACATTTTTTTAAACATAGACAGGACAGTCCGGCGTCTTTATCGTATTTACCTGCAGCCAAGGCTATGTCCCATACGTTTGGTACTGGTGCGTGGTCAGTGGCTTCATTGCTTCCATTTGTTCTTATTCTCATGTCATGGTCTTCGACATCGGCTCAGACACCATCTTGTACCTCCAAACCTTGCGTGAGATGAACGAGGAGTTAGCCGATCGCGAGCTGCGACGCCTGTCGGGTGGGGTTGCCGGGGTGGCCACCAACATTTATGAGATGTTCCGCTCGATCGCGGGATCTGCCTTGGGTTGCGCCTACCCTGTGTGATGTCGGCCGAAAAAGAGAGCCTGACATCGCTCGATCGCCGGCGAAATCTCGATTTGGTTCTTCCGACCATTCTATCATGACCCGAAGTTGCGACAGGATACCTCCATCATCTTCCAACCAGTCAGCCTCTAGTGGCCAGGTAGAGAAGCCCCAGGTCAGCGAAAGACCTTGCAACACCAATTCGAGGGGTCATGTTGGGGGTTGCTGTGCCGTAGAATGGATATCAGCTGTGCTCGGCGATGCTCGGCGGGCACTGTGATTTGTGTCCTGCAGATGCACTTCATATACCATATATATATATATATAGTCGTTGACATTGAATCAGCTCGGATATGTCAGGCACTTGGAAGGCAGTATGCCTTATCGCATCAAGGTTTAGAACAACGCCTGCACGATCATGGCAAGCACGCACAACAAAAGTTCCGTGGTGGATTTCTTGGTTCCTTCCTCTAGAGCATGGCCCGCCTAGCTGCTTTTCTCGGGTTTCGAGCCAAAGCCTCACACTCTGCGCTGCCCAGCCCACACATACCCTGACTGGTGCTTTTGTGCAAGCTAAAGCATTTGGCCTGCTCGGATGGCCTCACGCTCCGCCCAGAATGGGTCCGCCACTTGCCAGAAACGGAAGACTACTGGGCTGCTAGTTGTGTTGAGTTCAAATGAAGTGGAGTTGTGCTCAAACCAAACATCCCAAGATTGACCTCTGCACTTAAACAGATTGACCTCAGTTGACCTCCCTTTTTGGCCACACCGCTCGACTCGCTCGACGACCGAGGCGGAGAACGGTGACGAGGCGTCCGTGTTGAGCCGATCGCAGTGGCAGCTCTTGAAGGGCGCTGTGGGGACGCCCGGTTGAGACATGGGCTCTTCACAACAAGTCTTGATTCACATGGAGGGGTTGCTTTTGGGGGAATCATAATTTTCCAAAAGCAATAGTGTTCCACCATGGTCCAACTGAGAAGATTGAGGTTTCCGAGCATTTGACCTGGACACTGACGCGCCCAATGGGGGAAGCGGTTACATGGCGGTATTGCTTGTCGATATCAGGCTGGGATCTACTTTTTCTTCATTTGGTACGGACGGCCCCTTGTCTAAAGAGAAGTGAGGAAAGAAAGCCAGCACTTCAGTTGAGAGCCAGGGGTGAGTCCTGGCCCAGAACCATGAGCAACGCCCTTGCGTCAGAGTGCATTCAGAATCATGAGCCTTGAACCCACAAATTGAGGTTGCAAGAGCAGATCTTCAAATACAAATCGCCATCGGGCCTGAAGTCTCTCGGCGCAGCCTCAGGCTTCAGGTCGCATTTGGGTCAGGCTGAGCGCAACTTGAAGAACTCTATGTACCGTAGGTACCGTAGGTATCTGTAGGTACTGTATGTTGTTTTGTAGAGGATTTCACCCAGAGGCTAAGCTCAGTCAGCAAGTTCCTATGTCACATGTGGGGATCGCGGGAAAGAAGAACCCTTGGCATCGTCACCTCGGTCAACCCTCGCTGAGTGACCGCCTTCTTGAGGCGCAGGTGAAAACACCCGCAGCGGTCGTCTGAACATCCACCAAATCGGTGTTTCATAGAGGTTCCGAAATAGATGAGAAAAGATGTTGAGATGATGTTTTGAACAGTACGTCTTCAGAGGAGAGTTTTCCTTCTGTCTCTTCTTGGCAACCGAGACTGCTGTTCTTAGGTTCAACTCGGTGTGGTTTTTGCAGTTCTTGGATGCCTTGGTCAACGTTGCCGTGGGCCACTAGTCTGGATGGAGGTCTCCAAAGGGTTGAAATTCTACCTCTTTGCTTGTAAACTTGAGGAACCTTCGAAAGTTAGAGTGTACTATGAGTCTAAGGCATTGTTTGGCCTTTAAGTCCAAATCTGAAAGCATGTGAGCCTCGTGTGGACATTTTGGCTTACAGACCGCCGCTTTGTGGTCAGACTTAACACCGGAATACCAACGAAGCGGGTCATCAGGATCGTTGACCCATGGCGAGGTTGATTCTGAGCATTTTCCTCAGTCTGCCTGTGCTGACGTGCACTGTGAAGACACACATCACAGTGAGAACTGTGAAGGAGGAGCTCAACATTCAAAACGTGGAGCATCCAGATGATGGTGTTATTGTACGCATCATCGACCCTCCACAGGACTCGCCTGAAGAAGCCGCCGAGGCGCCTGCCGATGCAGAGCATAGTGAACATGCAGAGGCCGCGGAGGCTCATGGACACGAAGAAGAAGCGCATGGTGAGGCACATGCTGACGATCATGCCGCCGATGCTCATGGGCAATCAGAGGAACACGAGGACGATCCTGTCGAGTGGCCTAGTCAATGCAGACATGTGGGACAGATACTCATCGCCAGTTTGGATGATAAAGAAGTTGTGTCAGACCTAGATCATGCCGCCCAAGATGAGCAAGAGGGTGATTCTCATTTGTTTTTTTCTCCAGGAGCACGGTCACAGTGAGCATCATGGAGCTCATGCGGAGGGAGACCATGGAGACCATGGTGAGCATGGCGAACATGGGGAGCACGGTGATGGACATGGGCACGAAGGCGGATGGTGTTGGGTTTGTTGGTCTTTCAGTGCTGTAGGCCCTGTAGGCTGTAGCACACTTTTTTGGTGGAGATGCGGGAGAGGTGGGAGATGTAGTAGGAGAAGGACGCTGTCACTTAGTGATGTGCACCAAACTGAGCTCGGAAGCGTGGTGTTTTGATGGAAGGGCGGCATGGGCGTGTGGGTGAGAGCATTTTCTCTCTCTTCGGCCTTCCCTTGCGTGCAATTGCCGACGGATCCGCTGGAATTGGACCTCCCCAAAGCTCCGATTCCACAACTTTCCGACTTCAACACCCCTGTGACTCTGTCCTCCGCTCCGCTCCTTCTGTACAAACTGGCCCATGTATCATGACAAGGAGTTATCCAAGGAGTTAGCAACAAGAAGCTATATACTACCAACAAAGGGCATCGCTACTAGTAGCAAGGACGCTACTAGTAGCTCCTGGCCTTACCACTAGGAGCAAGACATGTCATGAGAGCAGCACATCCAAGCTTCTCCATCCACACCTTCCAAGCTTCTCCCAGCCGTTCTCAAAGCTCTGCCCTTCTCACCCGAGGCGCTCACGAGGGCCACGGACACCATGCGCCCGACGAGAAGACGCTGACCGCCTCCTACATGCTGATCGGCGGCGTGACCCTTGTGATGGCCATGTTCTACCTGGTGCAGCACCCGGTGCCTTGCTTCGGGGGTGAAGGAGGCGGAAGGAGGGGCGAACGGAGGTTGGCAATAGAGAATCTTTGGTTGTTTCTGAGTCTCGCAGAAAAGTCATGCGATTTCTGCTGGCGGTCGGATGGATATGGGAATCATATTAAGCACCAAGTCAGACTCTGAACGGCTTCTCAATTCTTCTCACTCGTGCCAACAAGTTCAACTGAAAGCTTCTCACTCCAAGCTTGACCACGACTGAGACATCTCTGTCAGCCACGGAGCTTCTGAACGGGAAGGGTCGGGTGCCACGGACCTGACGAGACCGGTGTGATCGGCTCCACTCGTGTGAGCTACTATAAAGCAGCTTCTTGTTACTAGTAGCGATGGCCTCTTAGGACTTGGACATCCGCTACTACAGCTGGAACATCCTCACCTTGTCTGCATGCATCTTCATCGCTGTCTTGGCCTCCGATGTGGTGAATCAGTGCGCCAAGCGCTTCCTCTTCAGCGGCATCAAAGTGGGCGGCTGGGGACCTGCCCCTTGGCCGTTTTCACTGTCGGGGCGCAGCGGCCAAGTTTGGCCGAATGATACCACGCATCATGAGGAAAGGTGCTCCTTTTTTGAGTAGGAGAGAAGTCAACCGTGAGGCTCAATACTTCCTGACCGCAATAACTAGACGTATAACTTATAATATATAACATATAGCATATATATATACACCGTAATCCTGATTGTAATCAGTTTAGAGGATTCCCTCCTACCAGGTGAACTGGTTGTAGGTGGCAAATCATGTTTGCTTCAGGCTACAGGTCTTTGGGCAAGATTGCCCCCCCTCTTCTGTCACGGACACCACGAAGGCCTAAGGCACACTCAACACCCGAAGAACCTGCGGACACCTCGTCAAGGGCACCTTTTGGAGTCCGGACACAACAGGGGGTTGAAGAAGCCTATTGGACATTCTTAGACTAAGACAACACGGGTACTCCCATACTGGGTCCTTTTTCACTTCACCGACATCTTCAGGTCCTGCTGGACGTGGCCTTGGCGGTGATGTGGTTCTTGGCCTCGCAGCTGGTGACCGCCGCCCTGAGCGGCGCCTTCGGCGAGGAGGCCAAGGAGCCCAAGGAGAGGCGGAACGTCCGAAGGCGAACCGTCCGGGCGAATTTCGTGCAGCTGGGTGCTGGCAGGGGGGGATTTGAGTGGGGTTTTGGATCGGATAGTTATATAGTTGGATGGCCCTCGCGTGCAAGGACGCCAGCAGCGAGGAGGAGCGCCAGGAATTGGAGGAGCTTTGGGAGCAGAGGGAGACGGCCATGTGCCTTGGGCGTGCCTGGTGTCTCCACCCCAGTAGCAGCAGACTGCACAAGATGTAATCCTCTTTCACGTGCGTGTGCTGCACCACTCTCAGGAAGTGCTGGGGTGGCCTGGTCGCCCACTGTGCTGGCTTCGCGATCGTGGCCACCTTGGCATCGCTACAGGCCTGGGTAGATTGAAAGGTAGAACAATGCCACCCACTAAACTTCATTAAACCATGATGCATGGTTAACCTGCCCGATAGTCCATGCTGTGCAACCCAAATTGGTGCATCTCAAGAATCCATAGTCAGGTCTGTGTGTGCTTTGGCTTGAAAACCAACTCCGGGAATTACAAATGGTAAACCATCTTCCTCTTATGAAGAAGATTGTACTCCAAAGGCTACAGTAATTGAGGAAGATTTACTGTTCTGTGAAGAGTGGTGTGATCACCATGTCCAGCCTAAACCTACAGGCATTTCTTGTTCGAGCAGTTGAAAAGGTGCCTCTGTGTGCCTTTCGAGGGTTATGAGCCCAACTTGAGGCTACCCGTTGCGCCATGTCACGCGCGCACTCGGTTCCTCCTCGAGGAGCCATGGTTGCCAACCCGTGGCGGCCTATGCTTCGGCGGCACTGGACCCATCGTCTCAGTCGAACCCCGACCAGACTTTGAACCACTTGTAGGCATGGCCCCTTCGGATTTCTTGCCCTTGGGGTGACCTCCACGGCCTTCAACACTGCTTCGATTGCTTGGGGGTGTGGCAAACGAACCATTGCCAGCTGAACCACCAGGAGGCACTTCACCGCGCCCCTTTCCCAAGGTCACATTCCCGGCGCTCTTGTCCTGCACCGGTTCAGTGTTGAACTCCCACTCCAAGTCACCGTCAGGTGGCAGCGGCAGATCCTCTGGGCGCCGATGCCGCAGCTCAGCCTCCAACCGCATGCGGTCCGACCACCACGGTCTAGGGAAGACAGTGATGGGCTGCAAAGAGCACTGGAATCCGAAATGGTGATCTTTTTGCAAGAGCAGAATGCTCAACTTCTGGAGGAGCTGGAGCGACTAAGGAATCCACCAGCCAAGACCTCCTTGGAACCTATGTCCACGCCATCTTCGTGGGAAACTGTCGATGGTGTGGGGGGAGAAGTTGATGGTGGTGGTGGTAGCTCCAATTTGGCACCTGGTCCGCGTTCCCATGTTCCGGTTGGTGGCCCTTCTGGTTTGGATGGTCGTCTTCATGAGCTTCATGGGTCGCATGTACAAGGTCATGTACAAGGGGATCTTCCTCGTGAACCTCCCAAAGATCCACCACCCCGTACTCCAGGGGACGTACCCAGTACGACGGCTACAACACGGAGCGAAGTTCACCCCCAATGGAACCCATGGACCTCCTCCTGATGTACCGCTTCCACCGTTTCCTTCAAGCCACTCGGCAAACATTAGTATGCTGCAGGGCTATGAGATGCTGGAGTCCCAGCGGCGCGGCGATTCGCGATGGGTTCCCCTCAGCATGCGAGAAGGGCAGGTCTTCATGCCGCGGCCGTGTGGAGTGAGGGATGATCGCGCCGATCGTTTGGAGCGCGAGCTGGCTGAGCTCAAATCGTCGCTTGGCCAAATGAAGGAGGTGGGGTGGTCGAGGTCGGCCTGTTCGCAATCGGTGCCGCCCACTTCGTCGGCTGATGGTTTTGGGCCTCTTGGTCAAGAGCTTCAGGGCGGTGGTCGGGATCGTGCACCTGGGGTAGGTAAAGAATATGTTCGTGACGGTGTTTGTCATCAAGTTCATGTTGGCATGCCTCATAGTCCGGAGCCGCCGGACGACATGCAGTATGGCCGCTGGCGTCATGATGGTGGCCAGGCCCCAATGCCACTGCCGTGGAATGAAGGTGTCGGCAATAGCAAGGCCGAGTTGGCGGAGCTTGCATCGAATGCCTCGCCGATCGAGCTGGGTGACTGGTTGGCCGTTTGTGGCCCGGTGATGAGAGACCTGTCCTCCGTCAGTTCTCGATGAGTGTTATTATGACAGGTGGAAGACTTCTTCAAGGAGGCCCTGAGGGCCCGTGCAGCCAAGGAAGGAAAGACGATAGAGTTGCTCCCGGCCAAGATGGTGTACACCCGAAAAGCTGGGACCGGTGCTCGACGAGCTCGCGCCGTATGCTGCGGCAACTACTCCGAGACCAGGTTTAACGGAGATTGCTATGCTGGAGGTGCTGACGGATGTCAGGTAAGGGCTTTGGTGAGGACTTTTTGAACGCCCCTCGTCGTGAAGACGGCAAATTGGTCGCGATGGAGATCCCTGCTGTCTACCGCCGCCTAGGCCTGGAAGGAGGGTGAAGTGTGGTTGGTACGTCTGGCCATGTACGGGCTCACCACGTCTCCACGGGACTGGTCGCAGTACAGAGATCGCACCTTGCCGGTCGTCAGTTGGGTTCGGGTGAGAAAAGAGAACAACCAGGCCAAAAGAGTCAGGGGCCACTTCATCAAGACGGAGGATGAGAATTTGTGGAGGTTGGAGGAGGTCGATATTGAGTCTCACTGGACAGGGCTGATGTCGGTCTACGTAGATGACATCTTGGTCTCAGGTGAAGAAGACACTGTGTCAGTCGCTTTGAGTGCTCTGCAAACCACATGGACCACTTCAAGCGTCGAATGGGCTTCGTCTGTTTCAGCAGTCCATTTCTGCGGCTTTGAGATTGCCCCGGATGCTGAGGGAGATGGTTTCCACATCGCTCAAAACAAGTATGAGCAGGAGCTTCTGGCCAGGTGGAATGTCAACACTTCCACGACCTTTCCCAACTTCAAGGTCAATGAAGCTGACGGTGAGCAGCAGCCCGACATCGACAGGAATCAAGTCCGTGAAGCACAGGCCCTTGCTGGCTCCCTCTTATGGCTGTCCACAAGGTCGAGGCCGGATCTTGCCTTCGGTGTCGCAGCGATCAGCAGACGGCCTATGTGAAGGGCAATCCAGGCGGCCTCCACTACTCCAAGAACATCCAGAACAAGTGGGGAGCCAGAAATCAATTGAAAGTCCAAAGGCATGAACGCCTGCTCGAAGTGTTCGCGGACATCGCGTATGGCACTGGCAGTGGCTACAAGAGCATCCAAGGCTTGGTGCTATGTTTTGCTGGTGCACCAATAGCATGGCAGAGCTCCACCCAACCTTTCGTTTGCCATAGCACTGCAGAAGCCGAGCTGGTTTCGTACTGTGAGGCTTTGACAGCAGGAAGAATTCGAGAAGCCATCGAGGGACAGCCATCCTTCCCCGGCGGCTCGTGGAAGCTCAACCACCTCAAAGGGGCTGAGCTGGTGGCGGACGGCGTGACCAAGCCGTTGATGGGGCAGAGTTTTGAAGACTTTCAACAAGACCTGGGCATGAAGAGTGGACCCCAGGTGAAGAGCATGTTTGGTGCCTCAGGCACAAGATCATCAAGTTGCTCTACGGGCGCTGCTGGTGGGTGGACTGCTAGTTCAAGCCGCTGAAGCGCAAGGGGATCAGGCCATGGACACCTTTGGTCGTCTATGGCTTTGTGGCCTAATGCTGGTGGCGATTGGGGCAATCTGGGTAATGAAGATGGCCTGCGCTTCGGTGCGATGCTGCCTTCGTCGATTGCAAGTGCTGCCCAGCGAGCTACTCGGCGTAGACGACGAGTCTGAGGCTGAAGAAAGGGCCCTGACTACCTCCTCGCGATTGACGCGACCAAGAATGCGGAGCTCTACTACCAGAACGATGGAGGCTGCAGAAAGTGAGTCAGCGACTGAAGAAGAAGCTGATGGGTGTCCTTTCAATGCAGCTGAAGCCACGTCGGCAGCTGGCCCGGGTCATGATGATCTGAGAGCCAAAAAGGAAAAGGGGACTATGAGACGGCAGAGCTCTATGGCAAGATCGCTGGAGAAGAAGGGGAGCTGCGAGAGCTCTAGTTCACTGAGCGCTTCAAGTGAACGAGCTCTTCAAGCAGCTTATGCAGCGGCCGAAGGAGCTGAGAAGGCGGCCGAAAATGCAGAGCTGGCAGCCCAAGCCGCGGAGCAAGCTGCGGAACAAGCCATGATGGCTGGGCAGGTGGCTGAACAAGCAATGGCAGCTTCTGCAAGGCTGCACAAAGCGGTGGCGCAGTCAAGCCATCCGATGAGCCTGGTGGTGAACGCACCCGCGCCAGAGGAGTGAGCCGGTTCCTACGAACCCATGGAACCGCTTCCAGCGTGACAATGCTGGCAAAGGGTGGTCGGCCGACAAAATGCGAGCCGAGTCTACAAAGCCAAAGGCTTGAAGAGAACGTGAATGCCTTGAGCCCCGTGTTTTTGGATTTTCATGTCCAGCACGCTCCGTCAAAAGGACGGAGGGGGGAGTCTGTGAAGAGTGGTGTGATCACCATGTCTAGCCTAAACCTACAGGCATTGTGCCTTTCGAGACTGTAATTACAGTAGTCTTCCTTTGGAGTCATTACAGTAACTACCTAAGGATTGGGGTACCCCCTTACTACCATGCCACGGGGCACCCATGAAAAAAACCATGCTACTTGGTGCCTTGGACCTGTTGAAACCAACGGACCCGAGCAACTTCCGCAGTTTGGACCCGGAGGACTCGGAGCCTTTCAGCAGCTCTCCTGGGATGTCTCTGGCAGTGGTTCCAGGCTGGAGATTTGAAGGAAAGAGATGATCGGAAAGAGAAAACTGAGAGATGTTTTCCTGAAAGATGAAACAATCAGCATGATCATGAACAGATAGATGACAATGGCCTCTTTAAAGGTGATAATATGGTCCTGTGGGATCTACCCAGGTTTTCGATCGGTGTTGCGACATCGTCGAAGTCACCCGCATCATCCCGCATCTATGCTGGTCTAAATTCATTAGAGATTCTTCGTCTTTGCCTAAAAGCCCGCATGCTCTCCTCCGCAAAAAGTAAGCATCATGTCATGTCCCGTCATGGACGAACTGCTAGCGGACGAACGTGTCAGCTGCGCTCTTGTTGGTCACCCTCCTCTACCGCCTGGCTGCCTTCACCCGGAAGAAGATCAGCGAGATGGATGACGGCGTCGTCAGTCGGGGCGAAGCCTTGTGGGACGAGATCTCGGAAGAGGCGGTCCGTGGGACCCGGCTTGAACGCCGAAACAAGCTGAATTAACTCAACTGTTCGGGTTGCATCAATGTGCTCTTATGATTGGACCAGACTTCAAGTTGGAATGATTTCAACTATTTCTCCTGGTATCAATCCTTTCTTGCGACCCGTGGAAAGCCTGTAAGGATGAACCCTGAAGTTAAGACTCGCACTTGCAAGGCCCTTGATCACTTAGGCCTCACTCATAACCTCCCTGGACCTAACGAATGGTGCAAACACTACAGAGTTGAGGCCTTCTTGGCCTCTCCCGACTTCACAGGCAGAGAACGAGTCCTTGTGCCTGGGACTGTCCTTTGCGGCCATCCGCAGCATCAGCTTCTTTGCCATTGGTGCCATGCCAGACACTCACTTCCACATCTACTCGGACGTGTCCAATGCGAATTGGCATCGTGGATGGATGGTGGCTTGGTGCAGACAGGGATTGATGGGGATTGACAGCTGGGCTGGGGAACCAGTTGCAGGCGAACCAAACAAGTTGCATGATGCCTGATTGAAAGGATGTGCTTTAATCCGACAACCAAGAGGCTTAACTAAAGGTCGACATCATTCTGCCTACGTCAAAACCTACTTGAGCATTGAGGAGCAATGTAATTGAAGAAAGCTCCATTTTTTCAGAGCTCACAAGACTGAGGTGCTGGCCGGAGTCTCCGTGGGCTGCATGGTGATGGGAATTATCACCTTGAAGATCAAGGAGAGGGGATCCAGACGTTTGGTGATGGGAATTCAATGGAACGAAGCACACGTTTGGTGAAGGGATTTTTAGATTCTAAAGGCCACTGATTGACAAACCCATGATCCATCGCATTTGTCACACCCCGTCCACTGGTTTGTCCCTTGGAACATCTTGCAGCCTTGTGAACATCTTGCAGCCTTGGACCCCTCACATCGACGTGTTTTTTGTTTGGAAACCAAAAAAGCATCTCTCCAATCTGCCAAGAGTCCATCAGGACACACGGGAGCTTTTCAAGGGCCACGGCCACTGTTTTCGGCAGCTTTTTCCGGGCGGTTTTCCCTCCGTTGGCATTCCTTTTGACCTGACGACGACTGGACGAAGTCCGGGCCAGGGACCCGTTCGTTGGCTCGTCGAAGACACGAGCCGTTCGTTGGCGGCTCGTAGGAGTCTGCGTTTGGTGGACACGGGCATGGAGCACACCAGTCCGATGAGCATGGCGGACACGAGGTGGTGGAACACGATGACGCCTGACGAGCAATAGCCTGGCAAGTGGGGGGGCTTTGTGGCAGGGGGTTTCTGCTGTTGGGGCTCTGCACTTTGAGGACTTCAGGTTGAAAAAAGATCGTCACGTTTTGTTGGTAGATGTTGATCGAATGGGTTTTGCCCGCGATGCAGACATTTGGGTGTGAACCTCCAAAAACGGAGCACGCTCTGGAAGGTTGACAGGTACAGGCTTTCATTGTTCAAACGGGTGTCGCCTTTTGGCCTGGCAAGGGAAGCCTTTCATTGTCGCTGGTGCCGTTTTTTGGCCTCCAACCTAAGAGCGATGGCCTCCAACCTAACAGCGATGGCCTCCAACCTAACAGCGA